GTAAAAAGTCACTTTTTACTTCCAAAAGTTTTCATACAAACTTCAAATTCAAATACAGTTCTCTAAAACTATTTAGGAAAAAGCTGAATCTATATTCACGAATCAAAGAAAAGCCAAGGTACATTGTGGAAATCGAATCGTTTCCAAAGAGCACTATCTGTAGAGCAACTTGTTTACTTTACAGTAGGTAGGGCACGATGCATATGTTAATTCTCTATATCCGTATTTAGTTGAAGATTTTTTTATGAAAGAAAGTATTAGATCATTAGGAGAAGCTCACGAAAGATAATTTTTAAAGAATCTCAATTCTATCAGTATGGTCTGAATGATTGAAGACTTTAGTTAAGAAAAGAAACTCTTCAACCAAATACAGATAAAAGGAGTTGACCTTGCATCCTTTCCTACCTACTGAAAAACAGGCAAGTTGGTCAATATAAAACTGATCTATGAAAACGATTCGATTGTTGAATCTTAATTTGTGTTGTCTAATATTCGTATGTATGGACTCGAGTTTTCTTAAAGGATTTTCGAAAAAAAACGTAAATAGCGCGCATATTGAAAAAATAGTGAAGAAATGCGTTTGAAAAATTAACTATTGTTCATTCTCTTTCCAAGGACCTTTAATGAGAACTAAACAAAGTACCTGAAGTGAGACTGTCTCGATGTATGCGTGAGAGAGACGAAGAGAGAAAGAAAAAAAATAGTAAACAACTATCATAAATCTTATGAATACTTGCATGGTAGAATTTCTCATAGAAAGAGCAGTAATATTAGTTTATATGCGATCCATTGCAATCCTGAAAGTAAATGGCGATAAAATTAAAAAAAAATATGCCATAATTCCAAAAAATTTTTGTTTCCTCTTCACAGAAAGCCACATAATAAATACTATGATAACCGTTTCAACTTGTTTATTTCAGTTTCATTGTGGATTATTCTCATCAAATTATATAGAGAAATGTTTAACCAGATACCCTAATTTTTTAGCTAGTGCATGAGTTACTTTCCCTTGATTACCTTTAGTTTGGATTAGATATTTTTTCACAGTTTAAGAACAAAATTTCAATAAATTATATGACGAAACAACGAAATAGAAACCCGATGGGTATATAATAAGTATGTGGATGGGTTAGAGTGTGTAAGTGTGCATTTGAACCCGATAGTAGGAAACCATCGCACTTATATTCCACACTCTATCCACATCCTTACTTTTTCGTATGTTCTACAAAATATTTCTTTTTTCTTCATATATTTATTCAAGATCTTTGCTTTTAATATGTAGACTATCATAATCACTAGTAAGTTACTGATATTTTTAGTTCAACTAACCAACAGGAATTTCTCATACAACAGTCAATAATTGGAATTTTTGTAATGCAATCAACGGAAAGTATATCCTCAAAAATTAAGCTGTGAAAAGCATTTATTAGCTTGCTGTTAAAATAAGAAATCATATACTTTTTTTGCAACATTGATTAATGATTATGAGTGAGTCTCGATTTTATTCTTGCTACGCTGACACTTAATTTTTCATTTAAAATGAAAAATAAATACAGATAAAATTTAGATTTTCACACAGATTTCAAGACAGTCACGTATAGTTGTTTTTAGCAAATACTGCATCAAGCAGTTCAAATTTATTCTAATGAAGTTATCGAGTAGATGATTTCGAAAAAATAACAGATAATCACACTTTGTACGAGAGACCAGAGGGCAAAAGTCAAGAAAAAAGATATTAATAATAAATTTGAATAGTTTCTTGCTCATATTGAAGTTGCCATTTGTGAGGATCTGTTGAGATGGTTAAATAGATCGCTTTCTACTAGTGTGACAACAATTGTGAGCATAGACCATTTTCCTCTTATAAAAGATCTCTAAAGTTTACATATCCTTATCAAAATTAGTAAACATTACTGATTTGCAAAGCACTAGTTTTATTTTCTCATATTCATCTATACGTTTTTTATTCGAAAGATATTTCATTTCACGAAAAGCACTATCGAAATCGTGTCACTTTAGCTAAGTTACTTCTGCTTTTTGACTCATATCACCTTAATGATCTGACTTGCGTTTTGTACTGTTACTGCAAGTGCAACATCAAATTTTTTCTTTGAAACGGAAGCGCTGCAATTGAAGTTTATGATGAGTGTGTGAATGATTGTTAAAAACTGGTTCGTATTTGTTTTTTCCAGTGAACGTCTTCAAGTCCACGATCACGTTTTCTTCCATCAGCTACATACTCACACTCCTTTCCAAACACATAGAAAGAGTCATGACACTATGCACCCTTCTCACGTTCATAACGTCAATATTTATAGCGAATCCCAACTCCCGAGTTCCAAAAGTTAGATTCTTATCCTCAACCAACTAAATGCGATAAGAATTAGATGATGAAAATATGTGACTGACTAAATTTTCGGGATAGAAAGGGCTTAATTTAATAGCTTCTTAGAAATCTCACAAATGTATACTTCCTTGTCAGTTCACACAAACAAGCAGATATGCCACGAAACACACAAAATTTATGCTATTGCTTATAATTCTTTCTGAGGTTAAGGGTATATAGAGTATTTTGGGTAAGGTTGAGGATAATTAGAAGTGAGATTCAAAATTATGAAGAAATTCTATTTAGAAATATGAAGATTGAGTGATAATCGATCCAATGGAGATATTCTATGATTCTGAAATGAAGCTTCACAAAGATGTTTGAATACATAGAAAGCTTTAGATCTCATTAGAAAGTTACAAGAAGCTTTTCCTCTTTCTTAGTACCCTAAAAAATCAGAAATAAAGCTTTCATTTCTGTTATTTTTGAATTTCATCTTAGGAAACGTGTTTTAAATCAAATTTACATTTTTAAATCGTAATAATCTTTCTGCAGATTTATTTCATGATCCTAGTGCTCTTCCAATTACATTATCTGTCATCGTAAAAAGTATCATTTATTCCTTTATTTTCCATTTATTTTTAAAAATAAACGATTCATTTACATTTATTTTTTAAAAATAAATGATCATTTATCTTTATTTTTTAAAAATAAAGGATCCATTTATCTTTATTTTTTAAGAGTAAAGGATTCATTTATCTTTATTTTATAAAGTAAAAGTAAAGTACCACCCCTAGTTCTTACTTCATATCATTCTTGTATGATGTCAACCTTGTATCCTTACGTAATATTGTTCATCGTGTTCAATACTTTTTCAATACCTTTGTAATCCCTGCGCTACTCATTGCATATATGCTCATTGTTCTCTTTTCACTCCGAGAGATTAACGCATCAAACAGATGTAAGGACAAATCGTTGAGAAGGAAAGAGAATAGAAGAGAACAGTCGAGAATATTCTCAGCGGATATTGCGCAGTGTGAAGGATACAACTCACTCGAGGTGACACATCTTTGTTGGATGGTATATATATGTTGGTGTACAAGTCATATATATATATATATACATGTATATATAGATAGATATATAATAATGTATGTTAATATTGAGAGAGAAATAAAATCACGTACAACCAGAAATAACGAAAGTGAGCTTGAAGAAATAATAAACAAGGCAACTCCTTAAAATACGTGATCCAACTACGCAGTCACCAATCTTTCTGCATCGTATCTAGGGGTGGCACTTTATCTTTACTTTATCAAGTAAAGTAAAGTAAAGCATTTTGCTTTACTTTACTGGGTAAAGTAAAGTAATCCTACTTTACTTTACCGGATAAAGTAAAGTTGATCTACTTTACTTTATCGAGTAAAATAAAGTAAATATACTTTACCCGAAAAGTAAAGTAAAGTAAAGTAAAGTAAAGTAAAGTGAAGTATCTCTAACTTTATCGAACAAGCAAAATATAGTAAAATAAGATTAAGAAAAGTATTTAGTTGATGGTTATTCATTTCTTAGTTTATTATCATACATTAATCACACTTTAATATGTGAAAAGTTGCGTGAAATTACGGATGAGAAGCCCCAAATTGTTTAAACCTGATTTTATTACTTTGAAAGTCAGCATCGAACTCTCAATATTCTTCATAATTCTGTATTTCACATGGTCACAACTCAAATTTTGATACTTGAGGTCCCCTCAGGTATCGAAAAAACAATTCTCTGGCTATTCAATTATAAGTCTTTGTAATTCAATAGCATGAAAT